ATCGATTTGGCTGATGCTTTTATAAGACGCACTTTGCAGTTGGAATCACTGACAGAGTTGGCCATTTTGACAGACCAATTCAAGGTAAGTGTCTTGCTCAAGGGTGCAACAGCAGTATCCCACCTGAGGTCCAAACCAACAACCTCCCAGTGACAAGTCCAGAACCCTGACCGCTGCTCCACACCACAGACTCCATGGGCTTTGATATCTGAGCACAATGTTTCCTTTTCGACTATTTAGGCCTTAAACAATATCGTAAAAACCTGCAAAACTTAAGGCACAGTAAGCTTGTACTCCAAACCAGACAGGAAAATCCTGAATATTAGATGGACTATGGAAATGTCTAAATTTCATCAGTACCGCCATTGCCCTGCATACGTTCCTGACTGCTGCACCCCTGCTTAGCAATTTTTAATGGTTGTGATCCCCATTCACAAACCTTCGGGGGTGTGGGAGAGTACAGTATGTAAGGGGAAAAACAAACCAATACAAGTACTAAGTGTGAAGCATCACCTTCATTTGTTTCACAGACATTTGTATAAATCCTAAAGATACAAGAATGATGCAAGTGATTAACTCTTCCTAAGGGAAAGTCACTACAGATGTGCATTTACATTTTTAATTACTGAGAAACAGGGATAAAATCTGGTATTCAGTTCCACCGTATGTTGTACATTTGCAACAAGTGATGTAAAGAGATGTTCAGTATTTTTCTACTCTCAAGCCCCATCTTCATAGACTGCAAAAGCCATCAGAATTAAAACCATGTGCTCCCTACAGACTCATATTAAGTAAGTCCTTTGTGAATTCATATCACTCTGAATTTATACTAAAAAAATAATAGAGGCTGGGTAATCAAAAGCCACCGGGAAGAAAAAAATGCTTAACTTTGGATATTTTCAAAGCTCCATTTCAGGAATTTGACAATCGGCACCCCACTAAGTTATCGCAAAGCTCTGTATCATGTTTTCCCAGAGAAGACTCCCTGTGCTTGTGTTTTATTTGGCCATGGCATCATCTATCAATAAAGCTGTTATTGTGGGCAGAGCATTCTATAGCATGGTCCTGCTGAGAACTCTTCTTCATGATCCCACATTCAGCACAGGCAGAGGAACTCCAGCCTAATGCATTACCTTAAATTGATTCCTCCTGAAGAACTCCAAATCTCTTCACACAGAGTTCATTGTTATCTTTGTACTGTTTATATCAACAGCTGTCACAAAGCTATTACAAAACTTGAAATATTCTGATACTCCCCACCTTGGAAATAGCCTCAGGACTGAATATTGAATGATAGAGTGCTGAAGTTTGTGTGCATTGCTCAGTGGCATCAAAAACTAAGAATGTGTGTGGAGGTTCCCAAAAGGCTGATTAAGTGCACCCTTCACAATATAGAAATAGCCACTGGAGTTAACAAAAAGAGACATGTTAGTTATCAACAAGTCTTGTGAGGACATGACATCTGCTTAAGATGAGAGAGATCTGAACAATGCCATTGAGCCCTGAAAGGAAGTTACATTGTGCAAAGAAAGTGCATTCTTCAGCAGGAATGTAAAGAAAAATATTGAAATAAGAATGTTTTTCTATTATTTTAAGCAGTGAGGAATATTTTACATTGCGCCTCAAGGCACCCATACCTCAGACGTTCCACACAATGTTTGCATTGAACAGTTGTAATTAAAAATTGTTCCTTTGGATTTCAGGTCCACAACTCTTGGCAAGGATCCTTGACAATAAAAGGCATTCCTTTCTGGCAAGTTAACCCCCTGTTCAAGACTCGCGATTGCTAGCATGCTGACATCTTCACTGAGTACATAAATGCCTGGCCAGACCCTGCTGATTCAACCCAGACAGAGCCAGAGGTTGCTGAAGATCACAGAGTGACCCCAGAGCTCATACATCAACTTTTATGTATAAAATGTCCCTGTGATTCAAACCAATTGTAAACGTGAAGATGTCAGTTAAAGGGATTACAAACAGCCCAGCACTCTATAAAGATCAACTGTCTAATACAAAATGGAAGGAAGAGTGTTAATGAAGGTCATCTCCTCTTACCTCTCAAATGGATTCCAAACAAGACAGCAGCCTGAGACGCTCTTCAATGCATTAAAAGCACAAAACTCCCTCACAGTTCTCATCTACCACCTCCAAACGAAAAACAAGACTCATTTTCAGCCATTCAGAAATTAATAATATTTTTCAAGGTTTGAAAAGAGAGGGGTACAAACTTGTGTGGGACCGGTCCTTTGTTTTAAACTCGAATCACATTTTTTTGTCTCTGTGGTGTGGAATTTCTGAATTCGGCATCAGCTGAACATTGCCTTTTAACTGACAGTCTGAGAACAGAAGAATGCATATCTGAATAATGGAATGGCTTACCCTTGCAAGCAAAGTATATAAAGTATATATGTATAACTGGAACTAATAATTTGATTAACTCGGAATTTTTCATTGTTTATAGCTTAAACGGTGTTGTATATTTTAAACTGTCAAGTTTTGTAAGCGCCCTGAAATCTATTCTCTTTATGGAAAATGAAAGCATTAGACGTCAAATACTGCTATGCACATTCGTGTCGTGCTCAGACTTTTGTGGTTACTTTCCCTAAGTAGGTCTGTGTCCCGAGCAATGATACACAGATTGTTGTCACAATCTGATTTAACAGGACAAGGCAACAGGTAATGGTAATGGTATCCTGGAGCTTTTCCTGCAATCACAGGGTACAAAGCACCAGTACATCCTGGATGAGATGCCCGTTCATGTCATGTGCATACAAACATGCCCAGGAGTAATTTAGAGACATCACTTAATTTAACAGGACCACTGGGTAACAGAGATTGAGCCGTTTTATGAGGTCAAAACACAGAAAATGTGCAAGACTGATCAAAACCAAAGCAGAAGGGAATAGATAATATCGTGATGGTATTATTCTGCTGTGAACAGTAACATACCTTTGAGCACAGCACAAAAATAACTGATTGACAAAGGGCAGAAATGCCCCTGAGGAAGATGCTGTTTTTTGGCAAAATGATAACTGGGACTCGCCATCACGCAGAGCATTTCATTGCTGTTCCACAATCAAGTGAACAACAGAGAAAAGAAAAATCAGCAAGGAATGCCAATTAATGCGTATCAGTTTCCAGATAAAAGAGCTTCGGCACAGGACCGTAACTCCTGCGACACTTTTAAAGATAGAGGCTCCATCCTGGGCAGCGTGTCTGACTGGGGCTCTGTAATGTGTTTCCTGACCCTGGGACCTCATGAATGGAAAGAACTGGTTTCAAGGCTCTGTCCTTGAGTGGACACCCTGGGGGGGACTCTTGAGAAGGAAATTGTAGCCTTTCAAGTGCCAGCTAGGAGAAAATAATAATAATAATGAAAGAAAAAAATCTTGCTTCCTTTTACAATTTTTTTCACCCCTAATTGCCAAGTGGATGTCCTAATGTTGTATGATATCTTCCGCAAGAGAGCATCCCATTTCCTCAGTGACGAACAGGAGGCAGTCACACCTGGCTGGACACTGTGGCACTGGGCTGAACTGAGCGTGATGAAACGCACAAACAGTGGAATAGCTGGACACGCTGTTCTGGGCAGGGTTTGAGGGGCTGAATCACCAGAGGAACTCAGCCCAAGCTTTCACCCTCGACTGCGTTCCCAGCAGTGACCCTGCTTGTCCGGACTGGGAAGGGCTGCAGAAACTAATGTACATGTTTTTCTCTTATCTCTCTCAATCTTTAAAGCTACAGAACGGCATGGTTCTGCACCTCATGGTCTTCCTGTGCCTCTGAATTTCACTGTTTTATGTCTCAATAACCCCAGCTATGTCATTTTACCTAACGCACGTGAAAAATGAGGATTTAGAGCATTCACTATTTAGAACTTTCTACAACCTATTATTTTAATAAACTGCGATAAAATACTAATTTTCCTTCTGACCTCTTCCCCCCAAAATAGTGGTAGACACATAGCTCTGTCAGTTCTGTCACACTCCATCATAACAACGCACAGAAGAGTTTCATTTCATTCTGTAAACTTTGGCCTTGCTCATTACTGGGCACTCAAGCTTTTCTGTCATCTCCCTGTTTTCTTTATCTCGATGAGCAGTAAAAATCTGCTTTCACTTCTTTGCACAGACAGCCTGTATATGAAGAGCTATAAAACATCCTGCTCTTATCTCTCAAGCACTGCTGGGGTAAATCCTGCAGAGGCTAGGCCAAGAGTCACTTATCATTGAGTTCAGCGAAGAGTCAAGTGACACCTGACCCCTGCATCAAGTAAAAAAAAAAGATTTCCAGGTTGATAGGGAGATTGTTGGTGATGGTGCTTGGGTTTATGGCCTTCTTCAGCACACAAAACCAGGGAGTAAATTTATCCCATCCCCAGGGAGAGGGCTAGCTATTCCTGTTGCAGCAGCAATGACACTAGTCAAGCTGCAGGGTGGTGCCACATCCTGCCTAGCTTACCCTCAGAAGGACTATAAACCAGCCTGAAAGGCATTATGGACTGCTTTCATTCTGTTTTCTTGACCTGGGGAGGATGGAGGGGGGTCTAGTGTGTTCACTTGAGATAAATTTAGTCATTAAGGCTCCTCTTGTTTGCGGTTTGTCCACTTTCCTGCATAAACCTTTTAAGCAGACCCAAATGTGTACGGAAACATCATCATTTCAAGTGAAGTTCGAGATTGAACACGACAGGCAGCATGACGGCACAACGATGACTGTGATCAATAATCACAGAGCAAATTCTATCTTTGGGACGGGAAAGGGTACATGAACACATTGAGGAGAACTTACAGTACATATCCATCCATTCTGCCGACTCTTGCTTTCTTTATCCATCCATTATCACAAAGCCGTTTATTCCTGGTAAAAGTCACAGCATCCTGGAGCCTTTCCTGCAATCACAGGGTACAAAGCACGACTACATCCTGGATGAGATGTCTGTCCGTGTGCGTACAATCATGCACATCAGGAGTAATTTAGAGACGTCACTTAAGAGAGAAGACATGGCTTTGGGAGGTGAGAGGAAACTGAATCCAGAATTTAACCCTGGATCCAAGAAATGCGAGATTGTGGAGCTTCCAGCTACACCACCTTCTTTCTTAATGATATGCTGATTAAATGCATAAAACATGCCTGTGCTGATTTCCTTGGGATTTCAACAAACCTTGAGACAGCAGACTGCCATATTGGAAAACAAGGCAGAGAAGCAGAATAATCAGTTTGCATCTTTGAGCCTCGTTCTATAATGGTTTTGTAGACATGCTTCACGTCTGATCTCTTCCCTATATGAGCAATTAGTGCAATAATTCAAAATCAGTAAGGTCCACAGCCGTTACCAACAAATTCCCTGTTTGACACAACCAAACTGATTCTTGAAGAGCATCCTAGTACTGAAATTTGTTTAGACATAATGCCTGACACATTCTTAGAACTTCCCATGGTTTATGAGAAAGTGAAAAGTTAAATTCCCATTGTACAATGCCAGCTACTGTGTAGCTACTGTGTTTGGACTCCTGCTCCCCCTTCATCACATTTAAGGTAAATTTTAGACTTTTGCTCATTGATATGCAATTTAATTATCTCAATTTCAACCGCAATCAAAGCAATTTGTCTCCTGCTTGGTGTTTCAGTTGATCTGCAAAGACATTTGTCTGCATGTCTCAAAAACATGTGTGATGACCAATTTTCAGCATAATGATTCCCAGGTTTTCAAAACAAGTTGATTACTTTCATATTTCCAGATTCTGTCAAACATTTACATTCTTCCACCAGCCAAAAACATTAGGTGGGAACAATGCCGATTATTATTGGATAATAATCAGAATGATAACTAATTAATGAGTCTTAGCTGATTCAAAGTTTTCCAGGGAAATGAATAACTTTGCCAAATAAATAACCTCAAAATACATGTATCAATGATCACACTTGACGAGAGAAGCACAGTAAAAAATAAATTAAAAAATGGAAAATATGATCACGTCAATGAAGTCTCATAAAGTGAGGCAAAAGTCAGCTGGAGTCTCCTAGATGAAACTGCATGTGGCAGGATTCTACAGGTCTGGGACCCAGCTCACTGTAAGTCAGGAGATGCATCATTCAGATCAGGAAGAGAGCTGTTGTTTTTGTCAATGGATGTCCTGAATCCTGAATCCTGTCCTTGGGATGGAGGGGTGGGGGTGTGGGGTGAGGGGGCTGCGTGCGACTCAGTCCTGCCCCTGACAAAACCAGGAACATCCTCCTCTCCTGTCACTTAGCATGGAGAACCGATAAACAGGAAGAAGAGCCATCACCTGATTTCTCTCCGCTGTGAAAACTTGGAGCACAGCATTTTGTTCATTCTGTGCTGCCCACTCTCTGTACTGTACGTGATACTTCCAACCTCCTCTTGATTGTTTTTACATTTCAAATCAAGCAAGATGAGAGCTTAGCTACAGTCCATAACTGTCCGTGTCTTGTGTAAGAGGACATCTTAAGAAAGCAGAGCTTCTTTTATGTTTATTTGAATCAAAGTGGCTTGTACATTGCTACTGTAGTTCTCCTTATTCTTTACATTGGTTTGCTTTTTAAACAGATGCAAAGGATGACACTTAGTGGCTATGCTAGACATTGCAACCTAATCTCTGTGCTGTTCCCTAGTGATCTGCGCATGCAGAATAGTGCGCTGGTTAAGTTCCACTCTCTAGTGCCTGTCACCCAGGTGAATGCAGCATGAAGAAAGTGGATAAAGTTGACCCCCCTATTAAATGAAAGGGATTAGGAATATTTTTGGATGAAAAACACAACATAAATGCAAAGAACAGTTATTAACTATTATTAGGAAAAAATCTTCTCTTGTAGTTATTGGACTGTGTCTGTTAATACAGTGTCACGTAATAAGCAGCTTCCCCAAATTAATGTTAATAGAATTTTTTACTTAAAAATAAGTAGAAAGGTAACAGGTAAACTAAGCATTTTATTGATATTCAATTTATCTTTTCAAAGGAATGTTCATCTGGACAGCAGAATGAATGGGATGTTAATTTGGACTTCAAAATTCTATAGCATTCTGCTCTACTGTGTAGCCTAAAATACAGTAAACTGAAATTAAACTATTTGGTCAAAGTACCTAAAAATGATTAGCATTTTTCTGCATATTTCACCTCCTGATGATGCAATGCCATGTCAGGTATACCATTGTTACATCACCAATCAGTTACCTTGGCAACTGGAAAACAAATGTTTGCTCTGAAAAGCTCCATTTCTTATCTGAACATGGAAGAACAAGTAAGTCACTTTTATCTGTCTGCTGAGTTTCTGTAGTGAACGTGTTTACTTATCCTAAGTTTATAACAATTGTGTGAAAACAGCAGAGTGAAGAATAGATTTGTCACTAACTGGCTCCCCTGTGACCCTAAATTGGATGAAGAATTAAAAATTGGATGTATGGAATTTTAAATATTAAGAGCTCCATGCTACACCTAAATATCTCCAGTGTTTGATGAAACAGCTATTATTGTTTTCTGCTTTACTATTGAACTTAATTTGTAAGACTGATCTCAGACTCTGGACCAGCCTTTGCAGATTTATGTATGTACTATAGTTCAATATTTACCTCACTGTCAAGATGGCCATTACAATTTATTCATAATTTAATTTGCAAACATTCAATGATTTGTTCTTTCAGTTTCATAAATTAAAAAACTGTAACAATATAGAATGCTTTATTCATTTTTAATCAAACTCGTCATAATTGTTAATGCCAAGCTAAAAAAAACGTATTTTAACATTATACTAGTTAATAGTTCATTAGAGCAATAGCAAAACTAACAAATTAACAGCTAACTTGTTTAATTTCTAGTTAAAAAGTAACAGAAAATGAAGGTTTTCATTTGAAAATGGGTAAAAATAGCTTAGTGAATTTATAACTTTGTGATTAAAGATTTAATATTAATGAATATTAATTATAATATTAATAATAATTTGGTAATGTAAATATATTTATTAATACAAATTGTTGGCTAATGTACTATGAAATATTTAATGTTGCTAAGTCTACCCTACACTTAATATGCATCATCATACATGTCATTTTACATTATGACATCACAAAGTAGTTTCCTTGGAAACAAAAAAAAACAAGTTGAAAAGCTTGATCATCTCTAAAACATCTCACTTAGCACAGAAACATGACAGAACAAGTAAGTCCTTTTAAATTGTCTTAATATTTATGTAGCTCTATAAATATTATACATATTTACAATTACAATGTTAAATTCATGATCTAAATAAAGACCTAGAATTTGTGATTAATGTGCATTACTGTAAACAATCAATAGTCAATAGTCAACTCCACCAAAGCAGAAGTAAATGAAGGGCAGTTTTTCCTTTTGGAGTGAATGACACTGTGTCAGCTGTTTTTTTTTCAATTCAATAGTTTGAATCAGAATTTTCTGTTGCTTTAGATGTCTGTTTTTCACGTAACACAGAGATTGTTGGACTGAAATGGGTCTACGAACTTTCATACTTGATCAAATTCGGTAAACCCACTAAGAGACCGTCAACTGATCCTGTGTTTTCAGGACAGTAACTCCGCGTTCAGTGAACTGATCAAGAACATCACGTGCTGGAGTGCCGAACTGAAGCAGCTCTACAGACAGGGAGCTGGGGAAGAAGGTGATGACAGCTGTCAGATGGGACTCCTTGAGAAACAAGCCTTACCTGTCGGGGAGGCTACTGCTACTTCACAGGGACTGCCTGCTGATTCCAACACAGCGATGCCCTGCATTGCAAGCGTTCAGCTTGCAGCTGTACAGGTAATCATCACTGATATTTATATACGTTACAAATTGACCCTGACACTGGGGACAATCAATCCGACCATGTTTAACAATCAAACTAAACAAAATTAAACTTCACCCTTTTAGGGTGAACAGTGTTACTTCTTCAAGAGGCACCAGAATATGGAGAAAGGTGATCTTCTGTCAGTCAAGCAGAAGCTGGAGGACAAGCAGTGTGCCTCAGACCTGAAACAGAAGCACCTGCAGGAGATGCTCTCTGCAGCTCAGCAGGAACAGAGGAAGCTGAAGGAGGAAGGTCAGTATCTGGCACAGCAGGAACCCATGAAGCTCCACTGGCTCCCAAGACAACTGAACCAGTCAAAGACACTAGCTGTAGATGATCAAGACGTACTGTAAGCCTGGGATTTGCATTTTAGCTGGAAACTTTTTTTTTCTATTGAATCAGTATTGCATTACGACATATAGTGTACAACACAAATACAAACTGAAGCATAAAAGCTTGCAGCAAAACAAAAAGAAAACGAAAAAATAATCTAAATAAAATAATTCTCAGTATTATTCAGAGAAAATAAGATACTATTTTCTATATGAGATGTTACATTTATTTTCATAATCACTTTTCTGTTTGGTAAAATTAAGCCGATTAAGTCAGAAAGAGCAAAGAATTTTGATTTTTAAAACCAAACTAAAAACATTAACTAAAGAATTGTTGACTTTAAGTTAAGCAATAGTGCATGAATACATTGAGAACTGCAGAAATGCGTATTCATACCCTGACTTATTTAATTCTATACACTTCTGAATTATCACATGTGGAGCATGACTATTTTTTATTGTATTTCACGTGTCAGCAAACAATATTTTGGAGATGGAGGGTTCTAATTAGGCTGTGGCTGTAAGCTACTGTATACAGTTCTGTTGACTGTTTCTGCTCTTTTTCCTTGATCTAACTTATTTATCACTATAATTTTACTATTAGATGCATTTGCAATTGGTACAATTACTGTATGCGAGCTAAAGATAATGGTGGTGCCAGATCAATAACTGTTTTCTAAAAACAAATCTTCAATTGCTTTAGAAGGTCTCACAAACCCAAAACCTTCATCCCAGCCTCTTAGGAATTCTCTTGGTCTCCCACAGTGCGCTGCCTGAAGAGCCAGCTCACAGACGAGAAGCTGGTCACCGAAATTCTCACAGACTCCCTCAGAATGGAACAGCAGAGGGCAGCAAAGTGCCGGGCTCACCTAAACACTGAGCGAGCCAGAGCAACAGCCCTGGAAGACGAGCTTGTCCTGGAAAGGATAACGAACCAAAAACTGAGGTGATGACGATTTCAGCATGTTTGCTGGCTGCCCCCTCTCAATGAATACCAGACAATTCTACTGTAATCCCATGTACACTTGTACAAACATGCAAAAATCAGCACTTGCTTTCGTCACTAGAAATCTGCCCTATCAAAACTGAAGTCAGGGGACACCTTTGAAGCTTACTGGAGTGAAGAGAGTCAAAGTAATGACAGACATTTGCTGTGACATGGAGATAAAAAAGCTAACTATTAAATAGCAAATAAAAAATTACATAAAGAACTTATAATTCCACAAAATCATTTTTTTTTTCCGCAAGGTACTGTGCATAGGATTTAGGTTTTCAAGCTATGTGGTATGCTAAGTGCAGAACAAAAAGATCTGAGTGTACTGCAGCATGAGACATTACCTGGGAGTCTTTGAAAGCAATGTTAAAGAAGGTATTAAGAAATAAATCTTATTTACCTTTCTTTTTTTTATAGAGCTGAAGTGAAGGGTCAGGGTGCAGAGCAGCTCAAAGTCAGTCAGCAGGAAATTGAACTGTCTATATCAGAAAGGGATGACAAAAAGAATGAGGTATTCAAACTTACAAACACTGCCTGGGGTTGGTGTAGACGCCCACGCAGCAGAAATAGCTCCTAAATATTGATAGTGGCTAGCTATGAGGACAGAAGGTTTAAATGTGATGCTCAACAGATTTAATTGTTTCATGCTTCTTGCTTCTGCATTTAACATTGTTAATACTTTTTTGCACGTTCAGATTGCAGAAGTCTGTTCAAGTAGTTTTTATTGCTTAGGGGGCAAATGATACTGTTAATGGAACCAACAACTGAAAGAAGTACAAGTGGTAAGGTTGAACAAGAACGCAGAGTTCAATCTCTTATCTTTCCTCTGCGACACAATGGTAATTCTAATGAGCAAGAGCTTTTCCCCAAGGAACTGGTTTAATTAACATGCTGCAACATTACTAAATGACTGTTGATTCAAAATGCGTTTGTGTTAGAATGTGCCACTATAGCTGAAATGAATGGTCACTAATGTTCTCCTTGAAGGTGAACCAGAACTGTGACCAGCCGCCAAATGAGCAACATCTGGAATGCGGTAATGGCCCCAATACAGAACTGCAGCAAATCACGGGGCAGCTCTCTGAAGTCTCCCAGGATCTGGAGAAGGAGAGGGCTCTCGCATCCGAGCTGAAGGAAGCCCTCGATCAGGAGCGTCAGCAGTTCGCCAAGTTCGTGCGGGAGGTCAAGGAGGAGCTGGAGCCGGCCCATGAGAAGATCGTGGACAGTTACAGGGCCTACATCCTGGAGCTGCAGGAGGAGCTGAAGAAGGAGAGGAGCCAGGCGGGGCAGCTGGTCCTCCAGCTGGAGCAGCTGGAAAGGAAAGGAGGCGTCACCGAGATACGAGCGCCGGAGGCCCAGGGAGAGGAGCAGCCCTCTGAAGGGATCTTGGGAGTCAAGCGGCTGGGCGAAAGTCCCGAACAAAGTGCCAAGACCGCCCAGGGAGACCAGAGGCGACCACATCAGCAAGAGCTGCTGGGAGCAGGAGAAAGCAATGTGAACACGATCCCAGCTCAGGTAAGGTCACTGCGATCACCAAGCGGCAAAAGAGCTTCTGTAAGGGTTTCATGCTGGCTGGGGGCAGGGAGGGTCTCAAGGTTAAGAGCTGTTAAATTCATCGAATTATACTTACTTCGCAGATGAGCTGCTAAACATTGCCCAAAATAAACATTCGTCATGTCTATCTAGAGGAAGTCTTTTTTTAAATGATACTTTTTTACTATTAGTTTACAATTGCAACAGAGAAAGAAGTATTTTCCAGCAATGGGGGTTTTTTGCCCATATCAAATAAAACAAGCAAGCAAAGCACAACATACCACCAGTGTATTTATGGCTTCTCAGATTGCCACAGCTACAGTATGATGACATCGTTGCATTGAATAAGAAATCCAATGGTTTTAGATCAACTTTGAAGCTGCACTTTGCTACCACAGCTGAGACCGACTTGGAAAAAGTAACTAACTTGCTTATAACTTACTGTTCGCCACGTAGGTGCAGCAGACAACACACAGTGGGGTTCTGGAGCAAACCAGCAGGCTTCTGGAATGCGGCTGTGGCTGTTCCACAGAACTGGGGCAAATTCAGGGACGGCTCTTTGAAGTCTCCCAGCACCTGGAGGAAGAGAGGTCTCTGACGGTGAAACTGAGCGAGGCCCTCCGGCGGAAGTGCCAGCAGTTCGATCGGTTCACACAGGAGGTCAGAGACGAGATAGGACCAGCCCAGGAGAGGATTGTCAGCAGTTACAAAGCCTACATCCTGGAGCTGCAGGAGGAGCTGAAGAAGGAGAGGAGCCGGGTGGGGCAGCTGGTCGTCCAGCAGGAGCAGCTGCAGAGGAGGGGGGGCCTCACGGAGCAGCAGCAGGAGTCGGCCGCCCAGGCCAGCAGGCAGGAGGCTTGGAAAGACAATGAGTCCACTAACGGGATCCAGCTCAGCCTGGAGAAAATGAGAGCGGAGGTCCAGCACATGGCTCAAGTGCTGGAACAATGGCAGCTGGAAGCAAGACTGCAGGGCCGGTTACCTCAGCACAACTCCCCAGCCTTACAAAGCACAGACACTAAAAGGGCTGAGATGGCTCAGGCAGACCAGAGGCAACCATATCATGGGGGACTAAAGGAAACGGGACAAGGGAAAGCAACGAGGTTTCAAATGCAGGTAAGGAATGGACACAGTGACATACCACCAAGCAGCTCCTTTAGGTATTGTGTCAGGTTGGTTTTAACCAGAAGAAATGAGACTGTGAGAAGACACTGAATTCATTCACTCACTATTCTAATTTTCACCAACAGGCTTTTTGAGCCTTACCTAGAACGCATGCTTTTCTCACATTTAGGTTTATGGAAGTCTTCTCAGGTGTTATGTTTTTCTGATCAGTAGACGTATATAACTAAGACTGATAAGTCAGCTTTGTGCATGTCAGCTTTGACCTCAAGCTATGAGACAGGCAGTGCCTGCAGAGTACCACTCTTAGAATACAGCAATTGCATTGAATATGAATCTTTGCAGCTGGGGCATTTTAAAAAAAACATTGTAAGATTTCTAGATTAACACTGATGCAAAATCCATCTGAGATTACACCACCACAACTGAGACTGATTTTAGAGAGGTTAACTAGTGTTGCTCTTCTCTGTGTAGGAGCGCCAGTCAGTACATGGCGATTGTCAACTGCAAAAAAAGAAGCACGCAAAATGGAATAATGACCCCAATGCAGATCTGCAGCAAATCACAGGGCAGCTCTTTGAAGCCTCCCAGGATCTGGGGAAGGAGAGGGCTCTCCAATCCAATCTGAATGAAGCCCTCGATCAGGAGCGTCAGCAGTTGGCCAAGGAGGAGGTGACCCATGAGACGATCATAGACAGTTACAGAACCTTCATCCTGGAGCTGCAGGAGGAGCTGAAGAAGGAGAGGAGCCGGGCGGGGCAGCTGGTCACCGAGATACGAGTGCCGGAGGCCCGGTGCAACTGTCAGGAGGCACGAAGGCAAACTCTGGCTGCTGGCAAGATCTGGGGCACCAGAGGTGAGCGAGGCAAAGCCCAGAGAGGGCCTCAAAACCTGGAGGAGGAGTGGGAGCAGCCAGCAGTCAGGCTGCCGGGTAAAACGATTGAGCTCATCACTCCAGTCTTACAGAGAGGGGAGACAGACAAAGGAGAACAGAAGCATCCATATTACCAAGAAGCACAGGGAGCAGCTGATCGGAAAGAGATTAAAGCTCAGGTAAGAAATGTCCACCATACACTAGATGTGATGGACTAGCAAGTCAGGACAAGGGAGTAGAGGTTACCTGGGAAAACTTACCCAGAGCAAGGGAAAATGGAAGCATTTCCATTTAGCATAACAGGTGCACTGTTTAGAAAGCATGTTTGCATTAACACCAAATTACAGGGTATACATTTTAAACGTGCTTTCATGGAAAGTAATTTTAATTATTTTCCCCCCCAGCAAACAACACAGTCAATTAAGCTAGGAATTTTCTGCTTTCAGAAGCAGAAGCTCCAGGTGAAAACCTGACGTAGGAAGCTTTTAGCCATTTTCTTCTCGCTGCTCTCGGAGGCTATTTGTTCGAATAAATCACCAGTGCAAAGTAACCCTGGGTTCCCTAATGAACTTTCAGCTTGACTAACCACGCCTTTGTTCCTCTTAGGTTTCGGTGGTTCAAGCTTCATCAGTGACAGATGGGGACCAAGTGACTAAGATCACAAGTGAAGCCTGGCTTAAAGCTCTACCTGTTGAGGAGCGATGAGGAATCTGTCCTTGCACCGGAGCCCCATGCTCCCGGACCATGGACCTCCACCGAGGAAGCACAGAAAGACAAGCGCAATGAAAAGTCACTGTGGGGGAAAAAAAAAAAAAAGCTGTGGTCGCTTGTCAGATTCTGTCCGGCATACGGGAACACATTGCACAAGAGGTTTGTAAATATATTAAGGATTTCTTTACAATAAATTGTTTTTTACTAAATGGCTCATTCAGTTTTTAAAGGACAAGAGTTTGTCAAACGAGATCATCATCTTTAGATGATTACCTGGCCTGCTGCCCCTTGCAAGCTCGCAGGGAGTCTTCCTGCTCCTCGTTCCTCTCTTTCAGGTTTCAGGTGCAGAGCTTCCTTGGCCAGCCCATGATCTGTTCATCTTGATATGCGTCCAGCTTATTGTCGCGACTTTGAAAGGACATTACAGTCTTACTTGAAACTATCCAGTTATCCTTTTCTCTTCTAGCTATTCCAAGTAAACCCCTACTTCTGTCACCTGTAGTTTCAGAATCAATTTTGGATTAATAATTTTTAACATTATCACAAGCAGTGGTAAAGGAACACATACACACACAAGCCAATTAAATCCATTCCGCAGGTATATTAACATGCAAAGTAAAAGATATTAGACAGTTTGTTGCCTGTTTAAAGATAAGGCAGTCTTTTTATGATTATTAAATTCTTACTCAATTTCCCCAATATATTTATGGAAATAACAGAATCAGAATTAGAAATGATCAGGGATTCAAGCTTTATTTCTTTAATAAGCAATACTGATTGATAACTGAAAAAACACTGAGGAAACTCAGAATACATCAGCAATGTAACAGCATATGCCTTAAGAGAAAATGAACATTTGTAGAATTCTGTGTATATCCCAAAAAGGCTGAACAGGACTCTGCCTAGACTACAGCGTCTGTTGTCCATGTTGCATTGAACAAATTGGTGTGGAATACAGTTCAAAACATTGAGGACAAACTGAAAAGTGACAAGACATGGAAGAGAGAATGTTACAATTATATCAGCATTATAAAACTTATATTCAGTGGGGAGAAAGAAATAACCCCAAATCCTTACAATCCTTACAAAGGTACAGATGCTAAAAAATAATACCCATTTCTAAGTGACTATGAAAAAGCTCACAGAAATGAAGCAGCTTATATTTTTTACTTCATTTTTAACAGCACTGAAATACTCAGCTTCCAGTGCACACAGAATGTGTAATACACATAGATCTCCATGCTAATAAAACACTTAAATTTTGGAATTCTTTATAACCATCTATAAATCATCTATAAATGATCTACTAACATGATAGCAACAGATTATTTATGGCCTTGTCCTAACTCAATTATCAGTGCCAGGGGTATGGTTCATGTAGCGGTCAGGATTATAGATTTGCTACATTCAACTAAACCATAGCAGAGGCTGGCTACCATCACATTTTTCACTGTATTCAAACTTTATAAATGACATATGCAACCCCTAATCTAAAGTGTCATCAAAAAACTGTATTATCATTCTCATAGCTATAAAATGTCAAGTCATGCATTTATTCCAGGAAGACTTAACACTTAAAGTTGTGGAAAAATACCGATTAAATCTATATTTCAAATATAACACGTAGTTCCCTGTACACTGACAAAAGTAACATTACGTTGTGCAATGTCACATTTTTTATAAAGATGGGCAGTATCAAAGCCATCCAGACTCTCTGTGGATAGTTGGTGATACAACACTGCCTCAGATCCTTGCTTCACACAGACATAACTAGAGTTTCAGGAGTGCCAAGGAGCGTGTACCCAAGATGAAAACATATCCTGATGTCGACAGTGCAAAGGGAACAAAGTCTGAATATGAGAAACACGCAATGCCTGCTTTCTCGAGTGCAGTATTTGACACCACATTCAATGCAGGCTGTGGCTGTGGTCAAATCCTGCTTAAATCGAGTTTTAATCAGGGATGGCAACGGATGTGCACTTGAAACATTTTCCAAAAAGGTAGCAATTGTGGGATTTCTTTTAGGCGTGTAACTAGTAATCCCAGCCCAGCCATGTGTGCAGAAATATCAACAGTACCGGAGGATGCATCCGGCGGGCGAGACTACAGATCCAGACTGAGGAGCCGCATGGGGGCCGCGTTCTGGCCTCGGTCGCTGAAGCAGGTGCTGAAGAAGGGATAGACCTTCCCCGGGGGCCCGCGCACGAAGGAGTAGAGGAGCACCATGTCGTCGGCGCCGTAGAACGACACCCTTCTCTCTTCGCAGTCCAGCAAGACGCCGATCCTGCAGGGGGCGCCGGTGAGCCGCAGCGGGGTCCCCGGCTGAGTGCCCGCGGAGTACTCGCGCCCGCGGCGCAGGCGGAGCGTCCAGTAGCCGTTCTCGGGGCACAGCTTGACCCGCGCCTTGCGGTCCACGGACTCCAGCGCCACCCCCAGGTCCCACTTGGTCTTGCCCCTCACCCCCACCTCCCAGTAGTGCCTCCCGGAGTCGAAGCCCTGAGCCGCCAGCAGGTTGACGCACTGGCTGAAGCGCCTGGGGCTGGGCTCGTACAGCTGCACCTCGTCGCACTCCACCACCGCCGTTCGGTCCCGGGACAGAAGCAGGTTAGGGTGGGCAGTCTCCGGGTCAAAGGTCAGCCGAGCCAGCCCTGAAGACAGAACGGCATTTGCACTGTGAAACACACCGCGGACGGTTACAATGGTCCGCCCCTTTCATTCGTGCGATCACTGCCGTTTCCTCCAGCTGGCACTGGGGCATGCAATCCTTCAAGACTGTACTAAAATGTATCTAATCAATGGAGGAACTAGACAGATTTTGTAATAAATGCAACAGACTCCAGTTCTGTTGATAGAAAGGTGATGTTAAATAGGCAGAGAGGGCAACCTCCACCTTGGAAATCAAGCATCCTGATATTACCTGGTTTTAGAAGCTTATACATCTTCCTCCAGATCATGTACTGTAACGGACCCAGGTATTTGCCATTTTCACGCTCGACGTCGATCTCCGGTTCGTTGTTCAGTTGCAGTGCTGGGCTTAAAAAAAAAAAAAAAAAAAAAAAAAAGATGTAACTGCAATGCTGAAAGACTGGCTA